CTAACACGGCTACCCCTCTGATACTTGACAAATGCATAAGACATTGGTCTAGGCATTGTACTGATGCAGAGAGGGGAAAATAACAATAACACTCCATTGCTTTCTTAAGAAAAAAATTGGTACCTACTGAACAAAATTATTCTGTTATAGAGAAAGAATGTTATGAAATAGTGTGGGAAGTCAAGCAATTAAGGCCCTATCTTTTTAATAGAAAGTTCAAGGTGTTGACAGATCATTCGCCATTAATCTGGTTAAACAAAACTAAAAGCTCAAATTCCAGACTTCTACATTGGAGTTTTATACCCCAATAATCTTATATGGCTATTGTACATATAAAGAGAAAAGAAAACATGGTGGCAGATGCCCTAACCAGGAAAGAGGGCCCTGAGCTGCAGCCTCCAGGGCAGCCAATGGCTAACCCTACTACAGCTTTGTAAGGGAGGAAATGTGACAGAATATACCTGCATCCACACACTATTGTAATAATGTCTGTACAAGGTATGCCTTGTGAGATATTATTTGAAAACTCAACTTGCTGATCAGTAATATCATGGCAAAATACACATAGCAACATTATATGTAAAGTTATGAACATAACCTGGTATCATGACTGAACTATGTTTCAGGATTGTGCCCTGGTATATCTCAAGACATCATTATCTGGTTGCCAGCTATATAGAAATAATGTACTTGAAAGGTATTACATGTCATTATGTTATTGAGAAACTGAAGTACACTTTTTCATACATCAATATTCCAGAGCAACTAGTGAAGACAAAGGGCCACAATTCATTGCAGTAGAATTTTAGTCATTCCAAACTGATCATATTACTAGCTGACCGGATTACCCATAAGCGACTGAAGAGGCCGAGAGAGCTGTACAGACAGCCAAGAAAATCCTACAGCAGAAAGATCCATTCCTTGTTCTTCTGAGTTACAGACCAACACCAGTAGCAACTACTGGATATAGTCCAGCACAACTCCTGATGGGAAGACAACTCAGAACTACTGGTCCAGCTTTGGTAAAGAATTTATTTCCAAAGTGGCCAGACATGAAGAGAGTAGGCAAGTTGGGTAAAAAGGCTTAATAAGCTTATGAACACTTTTACAACAGACATCACTCAGTTAGAGAACTGCCAGGTCTAGAATCTGGTGACCATGTTCATGTCAAACTAGATCGTGAAAAAGGATGGACAACTCCAGCTGTTATAAAGAAAAATAATCCAGCACCCAGATCATAGGCGATCAAGACCAATAGTAGAGAGTTCAACAGCAACCACTGACATCCAAAGTTTGTTCCTCAGAAAGAACGATTAACAGAGCAAATGGTACAGATGGCAGATGCAGAAGACGATGACGACTCAAGGATTCCAAACTGACCACAGCCAGTCGCTGCAACTAACGGATAGCCAGATGATCAAGTGGTTACACATTCAGGTCATATAACTAGAAAACCAGTACAATTCAGAGACACTTAACAGACTTACCTGTACTGAACCTCAAAGACAGCATGATAGTGTAAATATTGTAAATGGTAGGGGGAGATGTAATGGAAAGCCAAACTGTATTATACTGTTCAGCCACTAGATGGCAGTGTGTGTAACACACCGTAGTTAGATAAACCTCAGGCCTGGTCTCCAGTAGAGAGTTAGGTTGAGGTAAGGCAGCTTATGTTGACCTAACTCTGCAAGTGTCTACACTAAAATGTAGCTCCAACTGATGTAACTTGCTCCCTGCGCCGACTTAATAATTCCACCTCCACGAGAGGTGTAGCGCTGAGGTCGATGTAGTTAGGTTGACACAGTGTCAGTGTAGACGCTGCATTGCTTACAGTGACTGTTGTTGCCTTTCAGAAGCTGTCCCACAGTGCCCCACAATGACAGTTAAATCAGTGCAAGCACTCCTGGTGAGGACGCACACCACCGACACAAGGAACGTAGTGTGGATGTTCAAAAGCAATTTAATTACATGAGCGTACAGCCACCACAGTAACTTAGGTCGACTTAATTCTGTAGTATAGACTTGCCCTCAGCTTTACCTGGCAGTTTTATAAAGGATCTTATGATGAACACATCTGGTGTGTATAAGAAAGCTCCGTAGCCAGCCCACATCTAGTACAGGAGCCTAACAGCTCCACCCCACATCTTGGGAGGAAGAAGGGGGTGACCATAGGGGAGGGAGGGATGGGGTGCAACAAAGTGGGGCCCAGCAACCACCACCTCCCTCCCAGCCACACCCAGCCAGCAGCACAGGAGGTAATGGGGAGGGGCGCTCGCATCCCCACCCAAAAGGGGAGCCTCTGCCGGTGTTCCAGCACTGTGGGTGTGTGTGTGGGGGGGGAAGGCCCTGGCACTTCCCCAAGTTCTCTGCTCCGGGCGAGACAGCAGAGGGGAGAAGGACGGCAGCCTGTATGTTGGGAAGCAGAGGCACTGAGGGCCCGGGGGACTGTGTGGTACCTCCCCCATGCTCTCCAGGCTGTGCCTCGCCCTGGCCCAGGTGCCCAGACTGAGAATGTCCCTTCACTGGGACAGTATGTACCAAGCCCAGGCCCCCAGTGCATTACCTCCTGTGCAAGTGATGGGTCCCCCGCCAGGGGGCCACCCTACTATGCTGTCTCAGGCATGGTCCAGAGGGGAAACGACAGCTGCTGCTGAGTCTCTGCTCAGAGCCAGCCAAGGGGAGGTGGGGTGCCCTGTCCTTCACCCCTCCCTCCACGCTGTGCCCATCAGTAATGCTGTTCTACAGCATTCCAGAAATACTCAAGTGCTGCCATGTTCCCCCCCCCCAACTTCTCTTTCCATATAGGTGATCCCCTCCCAAGTAACACCACCACCCCTCAAAAAAAAAAAATCATGGCACTAACATGCCATTTGCTGCCACCTCATTGCTCGCTCTGCTTGTGTGGTCTATTCCTTCTCTGCCCTGTTTCTGTCTTGCCTACATGGACTGTAAACTCTTCAGGGCAGGGACCATCTATTACTCTGTGACTGTCCCGCAGTGAGCACAATGGGGGCCCATTCGTAGTTGGTCCCTAGGCACTACCATAATACATGTGATTATTAAATAAATAACTACTCCACAAGTATAGGCCTGAACCACTCAAGCTAAAGGAGGCCTATAACTAGGCCTGGCAGAATTAGATTTTTATTTTTTTATAATTTCAATGGCTAATATTGATGTTAAATATTATTTTAGATTTTTATCTATTTAAATGTTATGGTTGTGGCAAATTATGGAGAAGTCAGGCAATATTTAATGACGGTAGATGTTGAAATTCAAAAAGTTAAAGCCGTATAACCGTTAAAACACAAATTGTCAACATCACAAGCCAAAATACACAAAGCAAATAACCTTAAATCAAACTCTAATAAGTTCTCAAGCAGCATTTCTCTTACTTTGCCTCTCTGTAAATTTTGATTATCAATGGAAATATTTTTTTCATCAGTTTGTGTGTACAGTGAAATCAACATTTACCAATAAAAGTCGAATCCTTCCAAATCTCATACATTGCTGAACAGTTCTGATTTGCTCCAAAGGAGGACAGTGGTGATACAGACACAGACTAGCTGGTTCATTACACTATTGGACAGACTGGTGCCTCCCCACACTAGGGGACATGAGCTACAGGGGACTACACATGACCTCCACACGTGTTTCCTCCCCTCCCCCAGCCCGGGGCCCCTGCGCTCCCTGCCTGCTTCCTTCAATGGGCTTGGCTTCCAGGAACAGTGGGTCAAACATGCTGAGGGGTGGGGGGCTCCGGTTCACTCGGTCGCTGTCCCCAGAAGCCAAGCCTGGGTTGGGGGCAGCCCACCGTTTCCACAGCCAGGCGCTCTTCCAGTTAGTTGCTGCGCTGCACTGGGCAGCATCCCACCGTGATCAGAAGAGACTCTAGCCCAGCCCCTTCTGCTCCGGCTCTGGCCCTGCCCCTCTCGGGCAGCTGCTGGAGGGGCACTTGATCCTGCATGCCCACCCCACCCCCACCCCCGACGCG